TTTGCAAAAACAATAATATTCTTAGAGAACTGAACTATATCAAACTGTCAGGAAAAAGTATAGCAGAACCAATTCAGATTCTTAACAATATCTGTGAAGATACTAGAAAAAACAAAAAAGAACTGTAGATACTTTTTCAAGATATTGCAAAAGCATATAATACATGTTAGTAAAAATAATAGAAAGAATTAAAGCACCACTAGATTTCATAAAAATTATAATGAGCCTTTTTCAAAATAGAGAATTCTAAGTCATATTTGAAAATGATCTCATAGAATCAATAGTAGCTAGAGATGGAATCAATTAAGGGAAAACTATCTTACCTTTATTATGAAGAATTTTCTATGACCCCCTTTTATGTAAAATCCAGAATGATATACAAAGAGGATACAAAATGTCAGTTATATGGAACCTTAATCTTAAAAAATAGACTATAAGAAGGTTAAAGTCAAGGTATGCAGCTATAGTCTTTATGAATGATACAACATGGATAGCAAGATCTAAGGAAGACATTAAAAAGATTTTGGAAACTACAAAAATCTTTTACACAGTCAACGACTCTCAAATAAATCATAGCAAATTAGTCTTAGTTACTATTGACAATTCTAACTGCTATCCAAAAGAGATGAAGGCAAGTACAGAAGAAGTGATTAAAGAGCTCGAAAGAATAGAACAGGCTAGATTTTTAGGAATCTGGATAGGTAATCAAAAAACTGCAATTGAGCTCAAAGAATGAGTGCTTAAAGAAGTCAACATTATAACAAGAGTCCTTAAACACAAAAAAGTGACAAACAAACAAGCCCTTTATATTCTGAATAGAGTTTTAATATCTAGGATAGAATTTAGAATGTAACATAGAATATTGTCCTAGAAAATATACTACATCTTAACAACAGCATATAAAAAACTTTTCAAGAATAAGAGTAGTTTATGCAAATCAATGTCCAATAGCATAATCCACTATCCAAAGATCTATAACTTGAAAAGTGTTTGGATGTTACAAAGAGAAAATCAAATAACAGGACTTTGCAACAGACTAAATGACTTGGATCAGTAGGAATTACAACAATCATCAAACTCAAACAAGCATAAATAAAAAATTGGGAACTACTTAATTTATTAATCTGCAAATCCTTAAGTCATTTAACAGATAAAAAAAACTTTCCACTTCAAGTGATCAAAATTGCTAAAGATATGAGAATAATGTTTTATAGTTGAAAATGGCAAGATATCTTTGAATGAAAAAAGGGAAACTTCTGGATTGAAAAATATCTTGACCAGAAGAATACAAAAAAGCTATATTATTACTTAGAAACAATCAGCTGATATACCTGGATCAGCTAATCGATCTGGAAATCACAAAAATAAGACACTGGCAAATGCTTTAGCTCCTACAAAATACAAGCAAAGGAAACATACCAGAATGGTTTCAAATTATAACCAAAAATCTTCCAAAAAAACAATTAAAGCAACTTATAAGATCTGTGAAAGAAAACTATATGAAATGAAAACCAGAATATACAAAAATAGACCCTAATCAAGACAAGCAGAAAAAATTGTGAATAGTAATGGAAAATAAAAGAAATCAAGTAACTTGGGAGAAATTAAGATATGGAAAAAGGGAACTGTCATAATAGTAGAGCACTTTACCAATCATAACTTCAACAATAATCAGAAGACTAACATACAAAAATGTTTGGGATGTTCAGAAGGTATAACACTAAATGATGACTGTATTCTTGAAAGAGAAATAGGAGAAATATATATAATACCATATCTCAATATGAGAAAGTTCACTAGAAGAACATGAGATCTAAAAATCCCCAACCCCAAGTCAGCACTTGAAAAAAGCATCAAAGAAATGATTTATAATCAAAACCCTTTAAAGACTCAAAATAATAGAGTAAATTATGTGAATATTGAAACCTGGGAAGAAGTTATTATTAAAGAACATATTAAAGAAGGAGCATATCAAAACTATTTAATAGATATTCTTCAACGCAATCCTGAATCTAAAGAAAAACTAATCTTCTATTCTGACGAATTATTTACTAATCACTAAAAAAAAGATATGAAGATGGGAGTAGCCTGGATTTAAATAGGAAAAGAAGAAAAGGAAAGCAAGTTCCAAACAGAAGTAAACAATTAGCCCTCATCTACAAGAGTAGAATTGGTAGTAATTATAACAATACTTCTAGTAGTCCCAATTGAAAGCATGGTGGAGATCTTTACAAATAGTCAAGCATATATTTTCAAGTGGAAATCCTTAAAAAAAGAAAATCTGAAAAGGACATACAAGAGATGGCTTATCAACTAGAATCTTAGGGACATGGTACACATCCAAAGGCAATAAACGATACCAAGTACAACTAATGAAAGAAAAAGCTAACAGAATTGCAAATTTCATAAAATTCAAAAGATCACAGATAAACAAGTAAGATACATCATTAACTACATCCTAATTTCAGCTTTAGAATACCTCTTAACTGACATAATACTCTCAGAAACAATGTGCAATAAAATTATTTATTTATTTTTTTATTTTAAAACTGGCTCATCCTATGCCTTCTCCAGTACTTTATTAAGAAAAGATTATATTTAGCAACAATTAGGATGAATATTTTTCCGTACTGTCTAAGGATTTACCAATTACTAGAGAGATATAGAACAGGAAGCTATCTATTTTTAAGACTCGATCTATGTCTAACATATGACCAAAGCTTATGTAAAATAATTAATTATCAACTATTGCCATATTTCTTATAAGATATAAGAATATACGAACAATCTATTTACGTCAAAAAGGAAAAAAACTATGAGCTGAAGTAATAGAAAATTAGCTGACTACAAAGCAATTTATGCATTACATAATACTAGAATAGCCATAGTAATTATTATTTTTTTTAACAAGACAGATCTCATAATCAACCACTCTTTCAAAAGTAACAAATGCAGAAAGAAGCTTATAGTAGAAGACATATCAATAATCCCAAAGCCTTTAAACCAATCCATCAAGTATCTGGAAATATATTTCTCAAGCAAATCATTATCAGTCACTACAAAAAGAAAACTTAAAAAGAAAATAGAGAATTATATCAAACATATAATGGACAATAAAGCTGGAACAGATCCATAACAATCCAGGTATCTAAATGGATTATTTCAGCTCAACTAGAGTATGCCCTGCAGATAGCGATAATTAAGGTCAATGATATACAAAAACTTCAAGTTCTTTTCAATCATTTCATTAAATGCAAATTAGACATAGAAAGAACAATCTCTAATAAAGCTCTATTTTCATAAGCCGGTCTCAATGTCACATCCTTCAAAGCTCGAAAGGATCAAACTATTATAAAACTCCTAACATCAATACTCAACAATAATAAAACCCTTTCCCATATAAAAAATGAGATCATATCTATACAAATGAGCACAGCGATATGGGCTTGCCCAATATGTCAACTCAACCTATTCCCAAACATCAACTCCTGGATACTAGAAGCAACTTCCACAACTCTCTCATATAAAATCAATATCTGCATTAATAATTGCCCCTTCCAATACAAGGACCTACATTTATCAATAGGGCTTCATCTACCGATCAACAAACTGATAGCCATTATATTATCTAAATCCAATATCAAAAATATCAGATATTTTTTCCAATACAAGTCTTCTGAAAAAAATACATGATCAGAATTTTATACTAAAATTGGCAGAATTTTACCAGGCAAAATCCTATTATGGTTTGATAACTTCAAATCTAATATACCAAATCTAATTGGAGACACTCTCCCTTGCTTAAACCCACATCCCTCATTCTGGGCATTCCTTAACAATAACAAATTTGACTTTATTAAAAGATGCAAAAATATCAAGAATACAGAAACTATAAAGGAAAGGCACTATATCCTCAAGAATAATAATAATAATGACTTACACCAACTAATTCCTTGTGCTTGCCTAGCACAATCGTACATAGTCGTAAAACCTATTTTTATCACTAAGTCAACCTGGCATATTATGCAAAACAATCTTCTCTACCTGTTAAATAATATTAATGAACTTAGACACATGCTTACTCCACAAGCTCCTCAAAGCATCCCAATCTTAAACATATCACCCCTTTACTTATATTCCCAAGTCCTAAAAAGATATCTCTCTACTAACATCCTAACACCATCAAAATAAAAATTGACAATACCTCAACCCTCTACTCAAATCTTTCCCAAACACAAAATGAACTTTGGATCATCCTAACAGATCTAATACAATCAATCCCACTAGGTTCAAATATCGAGTGCAATCTCAAAAATCCTCTCTATTTTTCAACATATAGAATCCAAACAGAAACATCAAAATTACTTATAGTTACTATAGTAACTATTGTCAAAACCTCTTCAAATCAAAAAACATCTCTTTGACACTCAAAAAATATTCACTTGCAATCAACACCACAACAATTCAAACCTTAAAAGAGATATCTATACTTTCAATAAAAACTTACAATACATCGCCCCTTATCAATAATCAAGTTGGAACTAGTTGTACCCAGTGGATCAAGTTTATTAACTCATCAATTAACCTTATCGCTATTACTACTAGTTAAAACTGTCTTCTCAAATCTACTAACATTCGAGATTTCATTCTACTCAAAGAAGCAAACAAGAAGTACTGGCATACTGACAAATATCTATTCCAGTCGTTATCCACATTTAGAACTAAAGCTCTCTTTAACAACCTCCCCACCAAAGTCAAGCTTCATAACAGATATCCTTTACTTTACCCATCACCCAAATGTCCCTGATGTGATGATACAATTGAAAATCTAGAACATGTTTTCAATTGTATAGAAAACAGAGAACTACTCAACAAAAAAATCTCTAAATTCAATAACCTTCTAAAGCAAATCCTACAAAAACAAAGCCAAAAAAAAAAATTATTTCACACAGACAAATACTCATAATATAATCATCACACCAATAGATAGCAAAACACTTCTAAATATTTCTCGAGAAATATTCATTTAGATCCTTGAACAAATTTTGAGCAATAAAGCAAAAGTCAAAATCATGAATAAGACTCTAAAAATTCTTTACAGAATATAGAAAGAAAGATCTGCCACTGCTATCACAGCACCATTCACTGGCATTAAATAGAAACCGATAAAAGTAACTAGACCATCATCTGACAATAAATTATCAAACCAATCCCATAAACTTCTTAGTACCATATTAACAGTTTCAAATAGACTCTCAAACTCTACTAGCTACTCCATCTTATCTCCAGTAGTAATAGCATCATTTTTAAATGAGTAATTACCATTTGACCCTATTCTGGCATACCTAGTTATAGACTGCAAGTGTGTTACAATAGGATAATCGCAATAGGCATTAGTTAATTTATTTAGGTATCATAACCTTGTAAAGACTATTAATATAAATGTTTATGAATTAATTTTCTAATAAAAACTTATATATATTGCTCATTTGCGATAAAAAAAAAATTTATTATTTTTTTTTTTGATCCACAGTTAGGTCAGCATGGCTTGTCTTTATTGTATATATATCAGATATTTACAAATTATTTTGACTTTCACATACTAATTCACCTGTCATCAAAAAACTATTTCTCTAGATATAACTTAGGAAATAATATTTTATTCCTGACTTGGATAAATCCTCTAGTCAATAAACTCATTGCCTACAGATCATTACTATAGAAATAGTCATAATAATTATATAATAGCCCTATATGAAAAAAAATATATAAATATAACTTCCTTCAATGACTTAATAAAATAACGAATCTTAAAATGAATTTTTTGAATAGATTGTTATAATAATGAAGTTATAAGTAGTTTTGGGTAAAACTATCTTGAAACTTGCCCAAATTTTTTTATGTCTCTGTCTTGATTTTTGCGATTTGTTATATGTATAATAGAAGGACAGACTCTTCTATCTACAGGTTATGCAAGCTTTTGGTTATTAGTAACAGACTTATCGATCAGTTTGCTATATCATATACAGTATATCTATCTTTAATTCTTTCCTATACTAGTTCATTCCTGCGCCAGTTCTGAAGCTTTATTAAAGTCAAAATGAGTCTTAGGGACAACTGGGATAAATAATTATCCATACTGTCTAAGGATTTACAGATCAATAAATAATACAAGGGGCATCTATTTACTTCTTATTTAATTAGGATAGGATAACTATATGACTGTCTAGTTTAAAACTTGTTCTTAATTCTAACTCAGCTAAGGATTTGGAGGAGTCTTAATAATTCAATCTAATGAAGTGATCTTACTTATTACCTCGAATGTTCAGAAATGGCATTTCCTAGGACCATAGTCTACTAGACGATTCTGTTGCTATCTCCTTATGGGAAAGCTAACGTGTCAGGAACTTGCCTAAGATACTCAGCATCAATGATATTGGGGGTCTCTTATACGGAATCCTATTGGCTTCATTAGCACTTTAAATTTTTTTTCTGGGGCTTGTTGTATTTCTAGTACTATCTGGTTACTTGATTGGAGTACTGGTCTTGTATGAAGGATGTTAATCCCTCAATTGATAGTCTTGAGTATTGGAACCTGTTATGCATCTTTCAGTATTACACTGGGCTGAATTTTTGATTTGTTATAGGCCTGTTTAATCAGCTCTATAAGTGATCAGGTTCTTCTTCTTCTATTTGTAGGTTGATCTGTTTTTGTATTTCTGGAACCTTGCACTGCCTATTTTGGCTATATTTGTGAAATCTTGTGTGTATCTTGTCTTGTTATAGCTGTAATAAGCAGTTAGGATCCTTCTTCACTTTTCTGTTAGGTACCTGGGACCAGTTATATGTGGAGGGCTCATATACTTATGCTAGTCTTATATAGAATCTTGTGCTGATTTGTCATTCTTACTATAGGTATAATGAACATACAAGTTCACCTTATTGCTTATAAAGTACTTGATTATTATCATAGAGGGATAAGATCTTCATACCATTTTATAGCTTTAATTTTCACTTTGGTTCTCATGTGGTATTAAAATTTGGACCTTATGATATTGACCTGGGAGCACTACCACTGTGCTATTGACCCACAGGTTAAAATGACCATGGATTATATAAATAAATTTATTTAAATTTAATAAAAGAAAAATTTTTAAATTTAAAGTTAAAAAATATTTCTGAAAGGAAATATACTAGTTAAAATTTTTTTTATTAAAATAAAGCCAGATTAATTTAAATATATTTAATTTAATTAAATCAAAGCAATTATAGTTGAACATGCTTTGAAACAGATTTAAAATGTATCAAATTGGTTTCAAATTGTTTTTGCATCGAATTCGAATCAGATTTGGATTTGGATTCAAATTGGATCAGATTAAACTATTATGGTTTTGAATTGGATCAGATCAGTTTAAAATAAATCAAATCCATATCTGATTTGTATTTATAAAAATCAGATCAAATCGAATCTAGTTAAAATGTGATTTAATTCAATCTATTGTGATTACTAGTTGGAGCTTAGTATGAACTATAGACTGTTTAGTCTTATTAGATAACTAGAATAAAAAGAAAACCTTGATCTTGAACTTTTCCTAACTAGAATAATAAGAGAGAAAAATCTTAGTTTAAATAAATAATGGCTTTTTTACCATCTGGAGACTTATTGCTTGTATCTTATTGATCTCATAGTACTTGATCTATAGATTAATCCAATTTGAAAAATAGGATAGAAACAAGATACCAATCAACTTTTCTTATTATAAATACTATTATTAAAACATATAAAGTGATCAGTAGATAGTTGTTTATATTCAGCTATTAATATATTTCATATCTATTAATTATATTTTGCAATAGATTATGTCATTTAAAATTCAGGATCAAACTGGAGTAGGCAAAATTCTCCAGAAAACTCAAAAAAATTTTGGGTGCCTATAAGAAGAAAAAAATAGTGAGTAGACATTTTGAAATATGGCTTGATATTTGTCTACTACAAATAACCTTTATAAATATGCGTTAATATGAAATACTCAAGTACTATACTATTAGTTCTTCTTTCTTATAGAACTTTCTTGCTCTAGGTAAAGAAGGTGTTACTTGACTTTTCTAGGTTATAAGAAGACAAGTTTTTGTTTAAAAATAAATATAAACAAGAGAAGAGATTTGAGAGTATCTCTTAAAGTAAAACTTTAAGTTAATTTAAGAATAGTATTAAGACTTTATTAGCAAAGAAATAAAAATTTCTTGCAAACATCTTTTTTGTGTGTAGGTAGAGAATCAGTAAAAAGAGTTTTCACTTATTATATATTCTAAATTTTCTGATTTTATTGTTAAAATTAAACAACTGATATTATATTTTTTATATGAATATCATCAAATCCAATGATATGAATTATTTTAAATAATAAAAAATAAGATTCATTACTTTAAATTATTTTATTCTATTTTAAATCTCAATTTTTTCTAATATAATACCATTTTAATCATTTTTTATAATTTTCTTCAAATACTAAAGATTTTTTTTTTCAACTTGATCATAAAATCCTTCATTATGTCAAATATTGTATGTTGAATAATATGAAAGCTTATTGAGATTGTTAATGATAGTTAAATTTTTCTATTATTTCATTTAAAGATTGTTATCAATCTTCTTTTACAATTTTTACAAGATATTGTATCCAATGTCTCTTTCTATTAATTTAGATAATCTATCAAATCTAGAAATAACAGTAGTTCATTAATTTGTCTTATATCTTTCAATAATATCATAAATAGTTGTTTTTGGATAATTAAAAATATCTTTAATATTGTGCCCACTGTGACCACCTTTTCACAGGTCAATAATTTTGTCATGCTCAAAATTGGTAAGTTTGTGAGTTTTAGGCATTAATTTTTTTTATTTTTGAATAATGGAAACGAATATTCTCCTCAGAACGATCAAGATCTCCATGAAATACTCCGCATATTCGTGTCAAATAAAAATCTCAAGTTCACAGTTTTTATCGAGACTCCAAGATATTACTCCCCTTGACATGGCGTACGAGGCGACGAAATCTATAGAGTCTCATTCTATAAGAATAATTTCAATATTATACCGAAGAAACTTGTTGAAGGTCGGAATGGGCAGGAAAACCTCAATTATGCGATTGAGTTTCGTTCAACCAATAAGATCGATAGTTTAGTCGAAGTTAAGAGGGATGATTTTATGAAAGGATTTACTCAGGCATCCGTACAAATGGAGTCATCCTTAACAGGGCGTAAACGCAAAGCTGATGAAATAGATAATGATAAATATGTGGACAAGGTGTTCGGAATTGTTACCGATGCAAGAGATTGGTATTTTATGGAATGCACACTTGATGAGGATGAAAAACCAACGTTTAAGTTATCGGAACTGATAACTGTCGTGTACAATGATGAGAATATGCAAGCAAGAGCCGGATTCTGATTCTCAAAGTGAAGAAATGGTAGTAAAAAAGCATAGGTCATCGAGTAATCTTACAGACATAGCATAGACGTTTGTATCGTGGGCTACTTCCCGGATTTTGTATTTATTTTTGCATGTATTAGTGTGAGCAAGCCTTCGGCTAATAAAGCAATCAGGCCTAAATGGTCTTTCTTTTTTTATAATTAATTTTTGTGGGATAAGGGAGTATCTTTATTTGGCTTAATTATCATCCGAGATTCATCAAGATCAATTATTTATATGTATTTATTCTGGAATTTAATGTTAATATTCTTTATAGCGAGATCGAAGTAAAGTGGGATTTATTATTACAGATATAATTTTTAAAAATTTTTTGGCATTTTTCGACGAACAGTTCTTCACTGAAATTTTATCTCAGTTCCAGATAAAATTTTCCGATAGCAATTATTTTGCCATTGCGTAGTTTCACAGCATATATTCCGCAGTACTTTGCATACTAACTTATTAAACCTAAGTCGCCTTTTATTCTGTAATTTTTTTATTATAAATCTAGGCACAGTAAGAGATGTCTACAGAATCATTCTCACCCTCAAGCGTTTTCTCTGACGAAGAGCCCATTCACGAGATGGCAAATGTAGTTAAAAAATATGGAACCGAGGAGCTAATCGAATATTTGCGAAGTAAGGGTATTGCGTAAAGAGGAATTCCTTAAACAAACCAAAGATGATTTTCGCAGTATTGGCTTGGCATTAGGTCCAGCAACAAGATTAGCAAATTTCATCGCGGATCTAAAAAAATACAAGTGTGCTTGAGATTTTGTTTGCATCTTAATTATATAAGCCGTTACTAAATTCTTCTCCATATAGCAAACGCCAAAATCAAACACTGGATTTGTATATGTTTTTGTTGACAATTCCAACTTATTTATCGAAGGAAAATATACTGTTGATCGTATTGAACAAGCAGGAAACTTTTATTACCAAAGAAATTCCTACCAACTCATCCAGTTCTATCAACGGTACTGAAAAGACGAAAAATAGGCAGTGATCCAGTGATTGTTGGCTCTCGTCTACCTCCAAACGATTCACTATGGGATCGAATTCGTAAACAAGGCTTTAGTGTGACTGTTTATGACCGTGTCGCAAATAAAGAAAAGAAAGTCGATATGGAACCTGGAAATTCTATAGTGAATATCACCCATATTAATGATCCTGGTGTAATTCTTTTAATCGCTGGCGATGGTGATTATTATCCTTCATTAATACGAGCCCTGGATCGTAATTGAAATATTGAAGTCTGGTTTTGGTCATCAGGTATGAAATATTGCTTTGCTTGAGTCACATAATTTCTCTAAGCCAATGTTTCATTATATAGGGGTATCTTGTGATCTTAAGAAAAAATCCTTTGTTTACTACCTGGATGATTTTTACCGACATTTTTCATATGCGTACGGACCAGATCCTGCGGGAAAAAACTATATCCTTAAAATAACTGATGGTGAAACGCTTGAAAATGGAATGACGATGAAGTAATGAAATGTTTTAACTCATTAAAATTACAGTTTTTGGATGGTGGTTCAGGAAAGAAGGACCCGACTATATACTTGTACTTCGATAACAAACCAAATTTGAGAAAATCAAAGAATTGGGTGGAATCAAATCATCTGGATGTAAAGGTTTGGGAAATAGAGAAAAGAAAAAGTTGGACAGAATAATATTTATAGGTTCAATCCAAGTTTCTGTTCCTGAAATTTTTTTAAA